CTAGTTTGACCAAATATTCATTTTTTATTATCAATATATGTTGGTTTTAAGCTTTTCTCATTTGCTATTATAGTCAATAATGGTTTGTTGAATACACTGATAAGTAAGCAACAGATAATTATTGAAGGCATTAATGATATTAAAGCAAAACTTGTTGACAATGATAAAAAACTGGATCAGTCTTTAAGCATTTCCAATAATAATGTGGAAAAAGTGACAATTAATAAAAGAAAACTAGAGATGGTTTTATTGTAAGTATTATAAAGTTTCTTTTTGTAAAGATTTTACAACAAAAATAATTACACATATAATTGGTAGGGTGAAGTTAATTCTATTGTGCAAGATGTCTTTGACATATTAATGATACTTTACATAGCTTTTATTAGTAATTCATACACTATGTTTGCTGTGTGAAACAAAGAGTACTTTTGGTATTTCTCATCTCTCATCTTTTAATGATAACTGAAAAAAAATCAAATGAAGGAATGGGAAAACGGTTCTAAAACTAAAATGGCATATGATGAATTGTTGATCCATATAATGATTAATCAATCAGACACTTATGCTGCAAAAATAATTAAAGCAACATTTACTAACAATGAGCAAACTGCTCTAATATGCTATGGATTCAAGCCATTTTGGAAATAATCTTTGATCTGGAATATCTGTCACCAAAACTTGCACTATTCCAGAAACAGCAGGATGCATAATATTATCATTTATTTATATAGTGGCTAAAAAAAAATAATGTAATACCTACTTAACTATTAATAATACATGTTTTAAGAAATATTTAACAAAATGTAAAATTAAATCACTTCGGCTATTTCGATTCGCATTATAAATTAAATAATAATGTGTTTGGAAAGTCGATTCGCATAATTATAAAAACCAAGATTTACATTAATATGATTTGTCATTTAATTGTGAATTTGAAATTTAAGGGTTGTTTCACGCGCGTGAATTTCAAATTAACGCAGATCTTAAATTCACACACAAACAAACCGAATTTTTATACGTAAATTCCTTGCTGCGAATTATATTAATATTTACAAAATTTATTATTATATTAATAATATTAATAATTTTATTTTTGGTAAAAAAGATTTGTAACAAGGAAATCTTTAACAAAACTTTTAAACCAAAATGAAATCAACTATAGTTATCGTTCAAACTATTATCAATAACACATCATCATCATCACAAATTGCATCATCATCATCATCATCATCATCATCATCATCACCATCACCATCACCATCATCATCATCACCATTATCACCATTACCATCGCAATCACCAATATCACAATCACAATCACCAATATCATTATCACAAGAGACAGTAACAGCAACTACCACCACTACTACAACAGGAAAGAAAATACGCAGAACTCCTACAACTGGTCATAGATTAAATGGTAAATCATTATCATCCAAGAAAAAAAAGATTCCTTTATCATCTTTGTCAACATTGCCTCCACCATTACCACCATTACCATCACCTGCAACTTCTTTAACATTTCAAAAAGTGGATGTAAAAATAAAACCAGAAGATATTAATAATAGTAGTAATATCATTAGTAATAATAATGACAATATTAGCGGCAACATTAATATTAATAGTAATAGAACTGAGAAATCATCATCAACTACTACCGCAACTACAACCACTTTGTCCTCTTCACATGACACTAAATATATTGCTACTCTTGTTACTAATAGAAGTGACAACAAAGATAATTCAATTAATAGAAGATCAATTTTCATATGCCACAACCACGACTGCAATTCAATTTTATATGCTGCAATTAATTGCAACTAATTGAGGAGCCATCTTTAATCTTGAATTCAAGTCTAAATCAAAAAAAGTGCCAATGCACTAAAAGAAAGTATGACGAAAAGATTAATGAAAATGAGTTTATCAAAAATATTAAAAATACACAGTTGATGATGATCTGGGTAATGTTGAATCAGCAGCAACAATGGAAATTTTATTAGAACATGCAAAAAAAAAATTTCCTGGTTATAAATTTTTTTTTTTTATTAAATAATTTTGTTTTCATATTTTGTCTTAATCGTATGTCTTAAATTGGTTGTGCTTATAATCATTTCATCAACATTCATTTTATTTTGATTATATAAAGAGATATGGTCTGAGAGAAGAGTTGGGAAGAGAGTTACTCTTTTGTATTGTGGCAACTATTGCAAATTTCGTCGATTCTACAATTAAATTGATTAAAAATTTGATATTAATATCAAATTAAAGACATTCAATTATTCATCTTTTTTGTTAGTATTTTTCTTCATAATCTTTAACAAAGACAGTAAATTTGTCTATTTTATTGATTAATATTAAAGAAAATTTTAATAATATAGTTATAAAGGAATGTTAGTCTTGGTAAAAAATTTTTTTGTTTTTTGAGATTTTTATATGTTTTCACGACCAATTAACTTAACATTTATTTTCTATCATTAAAAAAATCAAAAGTTTTTTTTTGAAAATGTAAAGATTCTTTATGATATTGATTTGGCTTCATTAAAAAAGATAGGATAA